GGGGGCATTCTGCTTTGTCCTGTAACATCCTAAAAGTCAGAATTAAAAGCAGTGCTTTCTTGTTTAAAAAAATCTGTAACCATTAAATTACTGTTGGACTGTTAGCGTGCAAGTTTTCGATTACTGGCCATGTACATACCCTACATCTTTGTCTATTTAGCTATTTTTATTTTTTTTATTACTGATGAATGCCTAGCAATGGGACTGGATAAACAAATATGTGAAAAAGGTATTTTTCACAGATAGTAATGGTGACTATAAAGGTGATTCATTTATACTACACAGCTGTTTTTCCTCGAACAATTTGCCAAACTGCCTATTTGAAGGTTAAATTCGCAAATATTAGATGTTCTACACAGATTATCCAGGAGGCTGGGCTCTATGAGGAGAAATGTGGGGTCAAGATTGGTGGATGATTTGTCAACAATCCGCGTTATGTGGATGACACAACCCTGCTTGCTGAAACTGAAGAGGACCTGAAGCGCCTGCTGCAGAGTGTCAAGGACTGCAGCCTACAATATGGATTGAGGCTCAATGTCAAGAAGATAAAGATTCTCACCACTGGACCAATTGGCAGCATCAGGATGGATGGTGAAGAGATTGAGATTGTACACAGCTTTAGTTTGCTTGGCTCCATAGTCAAGTCTTGGCACCAGCAGCCAGGAAATTAAAAGGCGCATTGCCATGGGAAAGTCTGCTGTTAGGGACCTCTCCAAAGTACTGAAGAGCAATGGTGTCTCTCTGGAGACTAAGGTGCGTCTGATACACTATGGTCTTCGCAGACACTTGTTATGCATCAGAGAGTTGGACAATGACCAGGGAGGATAGAAGGAGAATTGATGCCTTTGAGCTGTGGTGCTGGAGAAGAGTATTGAGAATACCATGGACTGCTAGGAAACCGAACAGATTTGTCCTGGAAAGGGTTAAACTGGGTGGCTCCTTGGAGGCAAAGATTCTGAGGCTCCGTCTAACATACTTTGGACATGTTGTGAGGAGGGACCGGTCCCTGGAGAGGGACATCATGCTTGGGAGGGTGGAGGGACAATGCAGGAGAGGAAGGCCCTCTATGAGGTGGATTGATTCAGTGACAGGGATAATTGGGATGGGAGTGTCAGAGACAGTGCGATTGGCACAGGACAGAGCGGAGTTTAGGGCTGTTGTACATAGGGTCGCTATGAGGTCGCAAGCGACTCAAAGGCACATAACAACAACAAACAACATTAGATTATAAATAGCTTCCTCCCTGCTGAGAATTTGCATTTGCACCCGAGGTACAGATTCACTATTATCTGAGAAATACAGATTCTCCGCAGTGGATCAAACTCCTTTGAAATTCCCAGTTTTGAAGTTGTGAACAGATGGTCCAATTTAAGGTGAGCACAATTACTGATTGGGCTATAGCCAAGTAGGTTCAATTCATTTTGGATTTTGCCTGCATTTGATTTCAGATATTTGCTTGAATTCTATTGCAGAACAGAAGTAGTCTTTGAGTCAATTTCTAAATAAACCTCAGCGTCAAATTACAAAGAAAATAAACTGTCATTAAATAAATAATAACCAAACATAGTGTATTGCTGAAGTATTTCTGAAACAAAACTTGGTTTGGAATCTGGAATGTCACATTGGGCCACCTGGTCAAAGTTTTAATGGATGAAATAGATTACAAAGTGCTGCTAGGTGGCATCTATTAAGAAGACTGACTACTTGATAATATAGAGGGTTAGCATAAATGTGGAAAGCCTTTAAGAACATGGATTTACAGTGGCTGCAACAATGGGCTCAAACAATTTGTGAGGATGACCCAGGACCAGGCATTTCTTTTACTGTACAAATTGATGCTGAGTTGGAACTGACCTGAAGGCACCTAAAAATAAGACTAAAGTATTTAACACATTTAAGTGTATGTATTATTTTCCATTGGTAATGGGAAATAGGGCAAGATTGGAAGAAGACTCATCAACAACCTGCTTTACACAGATGACACAACCCTGCTTGCTGAAACTGAGGAGGACCTGAGGGTCCTTGCTTTAGAAGGTCAAGGACTGCAGCCTTCAATATAGATTGAAGCTCAACATCAAGAAAACAAAGAGCCAACTGGCAGCATCATGATGGATGGTGAAGAGATTGTTAACAGCTTCAGTTTGCTTGGTTCCACAGTCAGCACTCTTGGTACTAGCAGCCAGATCAAAAGACAAATTGCATTGGGAAAGTCGGTTGTCAGGGACCTCTCCAGAGTACTGAAGAGCAACGGTATCAGTCTGGAAACTAAGGTGTACCTGATCTAGGCCATAGTCTTTTCAATAACTTGCTATGCATCAGAAAGCTGGACAATGACTAGGGATGACAGAGAATTGTGCCTTTGAGCTGTGGTGCTGGAGCCGAGTATTGACTGCCAAAAATAGGTTTGTCCTGGAGAGGGTGAAACCAGACTGCTCCTTGGAGGTAAGGATTCTGAAGCTTTGTCTGACACTTTGGGCATGTTGCAAGGAGGAACCAGTCCCTGGATAGGGACCTCATGCTTTGGAAGGTGGAGGGATAGCAAAGGAGAGGAAACCATGTATGAGATGGACTCTGTGACTGGGGCAATTAGGGTACATGTGTCAGACAGGTTGGCTCAGGATAAAGGGATCAGGGTTTTTGTATATAAGGTTGCTATGAGTCACAGGCGACTAGATAGCACATAACAGTGGAAAACAATTTAAAGGCTTATGTTAGAGCTATTGTGAGTTCACTTGTAGACCACTGCAATAAAGCATTCACAATGAACATTTTGGTTTCTGGGTGGCATCCACTTCTTAAACCATATGCCTGCAGAAACTATAGAGAAATTATAATAGTTATAGAACAGGGTTTTGGTCTTTTGTTCATTAGGGTTACTATGAGTCATACTTGACTCGATGGCACTTAACAGTGCACCTGGGAGTGTGGGTGGTGCAGTCAGTAGGGAGTTATGCCAGTCCATCCTGGTGGTTGAAATCTAGCAGTGGAAAGATGGGCTTTCTCCTGGGCAGTTTAACAGCTCCTGAAAATCTGCTGGAAGCTCAGCTAGGAGTTGGTTCCAACATTACACCAAAGAATTTGAGGTTTTGCCCTTCTGCTAGTACATATAAAAGGTTTTTTTATACTATTCTGCCATCTTTTTTTTATTAATTTTTTTTTTTTTTTAATTTTTGTGTGCGTGTACCGTCAAATCAGATCTGATTGGTACAGGAGATTGTCCCTCCTTCCCCGGCAGAGCATCTGGTGGATTTGAACAGTTCGCCTCTGGCATTGTAGTTGCAGCTCCTTGCCACTAGGCCACCAGAGCGCCCCTCTATCATCTTTTTTAGCATGCAGTACTACTATGTAAAAGTTTAAGCTATTCTAAGAATTAAGAGATGCAAGTAAGTACATGCTGTTGAAAAAATGGCACCAACAGATACCAGTTTGTGCAAAGTGAAAGAGCCAACCTCACAAATTAAAAAAAAAAAAGGAAAGAAAAAGAAAATCTTTATTGTTTAACATCCAGCACTCTAAAAACACAGTAATAAATTCAAAGCAGCTCATACTGGTAAAAACAACATAAATGGTGTTTACTGACTCCATTTACTACTATGACAAAATAAAAATACCAGGCTTGCTTAATGGTTAAATTATTTCCAACCACTTGATGAGTTCCTTATTCTATGTTCCATAGATTATTGAAATGAGTTGTTTCTATTTAAAACTAATACAAAGAACCAAACAATTTGTTAAAAAGAGAGGTAAAAATTTTAAGAGGGAGAAAGAGGGAAGGGGAGTTTTCTGGGCATAATACCATTTGCAAGGTCACACCGAACACTCCAACGAAGCGCAGATCTTTTCTTCTCTGTTGGTACTAGGTAATTGTTTGGAATATAAATGTGCTGCGGCTTGGGTTGAGGTTCTGCTCGACAGAGCATCTGTTCTCGGACACCCCATCGTAATTCTTTCCTATGGTCTTCACCAGGTAATCTCATCAAATCCCAGTCTCGTTTGTACTCAAAATAACGGGCTACTCGGTCTGTCTTGCCTCGGTTTCTGCTTAACTGGTTTAGCCTTGGAAGAATAAAGGATTTGGGTCGGCTGTCAACAATCAAGTCTTGTTCATAGCCTTGGGGGCCTAATCCTTCTCTTTGAAGACAGGAAATAAGCTGATCTTGAGTACATTTTTGGAATTCATGTGGTAGATTAAATTTTTGTGAAATTTCAACTGGAGAATCCTTTTCTTGAAAGTGCAGATTCATCAGCCTTTGTCTTAAATCCCAGAGATCCATATCACTTTCTGTACCTGACTCTGATTCACTGATAACTGATTCATCAGTCACTAACACTTCCCCACCTGGTTTTCTACGCAGCACTTTTCTTTTCATCACTGGCTTTTGCAGTTTTGATGAGGCCTCTGAGATGGTTTCTGAAGTGACATTACTTTCCACATGTAAAGGAAGAGCAGCAGGAGGCTTCCCTGTAGTTACAGAAGCTTTACTATAGGGATCATATTGAGTTGATTTGGCTTCTGTCCTATTACCTCCCTCACCCTGCCCTACACATAACTGGGTAAAAGCTGTAGCAGCAGCTAACATTTGTTCTTCTCGATCCATATTGGCCCATTTTTGTCCACAAGGTCCCATGAGTTCTTCCACAGCTTCCTGTATGCTGTAGGGCCAGTTGTAAGGGCTGGGGGTTAGGGGGAAAAAAGGGAAAGGTGAGTTTCATGATAATGAATTTTGAGTTCATAAACTGCTTCTTATTTACAGTCTGGGTAAGTCAAATATACTGAGTGCTACAATACAGATTAAGGGAACTCTGGAAAGGCAGGCAGTTAGAATTCACCAGCTGCTCCAAGAAAAGAGATTGGACATCTTCCCTGCATTTTACGGCCTCTGAAGACCAACTCAGTGCCACAAAACATAATAGAGGTTAATATAGGTAGTATAGGAACACTTTAGAGGGGGTATTAACCCAGTCTTATGGAATCTATTAACTGCTTTCATTTGCTCTTATTATTCATTCCCTTTTTACTGCCTAATAGTTCTTGCCACTTAGTAGCTCCTAGGATAAGATGGGTGAGTTCTGGCATAAGAAAAGCTCAAGGATACATAGTATGAGTTATAATGCACGTTATATAAATCTATGCCATACCTTTCTGTACCTGGCATTATTCATTGTAGTTTACATTCGTTCAATTAATCCTTACAACGATGAGCTTGGTACTATTACTATCTTCTTTTCACAAACTGATACTAAACAGCTAGTAAATGGCAGAATTGGAATTCTAATTTAGGTCATCTGACTTCAGAGTCCTTGCATTTTTCTACCTTCATAAATATTTCACCCTGAGTTTTGGGAGTAATGCATGTTGCTTGCCTATTTACCACTTTGGTAGTTTGGACTTTTTTTCTTATTTATATATTAATTCAGTGCTTCTTAATATATATTTTTAAGGAAGCTTGTCTTTTATTATTGATGACTTGGGAGTGGGAATTCTGTGCAGCAGTTTTTATTTTTAGGTAAAATATATTTTTGATTTCCTGAAATTTCTGAATTTTGTGTTTTGTTTAAATGTCTCTTGCACTCTAAGATTAAAAGGAAAAATAATTTCATTTTTTTCTTTGAATACTTTTGTAGTTTTAAAAATACTTAAACAGAAAATTAAAGGGCAAAACAATATCTAAATAGATCTGGAAATGATCTTCAAATCATAAGGGAAAAAAATCAAATAATTATTAATAGATTATCTGAGACTTTCTCAATTTTAGGATATATTCTAGATGTCTTCATCTTAGAATATTTAAATATAAGGGGAATTTCAACATCAGCATCTAAATTACATTATCTAGGTTGTCCTCTGTAACTTTTAGAGGTACAGAAAACTTTATCAGAACATGTTTACAAAAAAATAACCAAAGCAGCTACTACCTTTTTTCTGCCATCAAAAGTACTTAAAATGGAAGAGTTTTGACTCCAGGCTCTCTTTCCGATGTACAGTACTATCATTGATGGGTTTCTTCAGTTAGCTTCTATTGTACCACAGAACTGAATATTAGATGACAGAAGACCAAGTCACTTATTTTATCTGAAATACTGAAAGCAAAAAAATTCAGATTAGATGTGTATTCTATACAAGCGATCTCAAGACTAGATAAATTGAAAGAATGAGAAGCTAAAAGAATTGTTTTAAAGTAAAATGTCCATAAAATCAGCTCTCAATCATCTAATCAGGTAGTAAAGGATAGAAAAATGAAATCAATAGACATTCTCCCCAAATAAGGAGCCAGAGTACTCTCTAGAGGCAATGTTGGTGACATCTAATCTCACATACTTGGATTAAGATGGGTCAGTCCCTAATATCAAGCTTATGAAGGTAGTGAGCCAAGGAAAATACCCTCAATGAGGGTGGAGTGTGCAAGAGTGAGTTTAAAAACAGCAGAGATTGTGATGATAGCACAAGATCAGGCAGGGTTTTACTGCTGCACAGGTGGCGCACAAGATCAGGCAGGGTTTTACTGCTGCACAGGTGGCTAAGAGTTAGACAAGAATCTTAATGGTAACAAAATAATCTCTGGTACTTTCTTTCCCCCTGTAAACTGGACAGGCATAAGAGAAAACAGTAATATCTGAAATATTAATAATTAAGCTAATGGGTCTATCTTCTTTGGGCAATAAATGAAAGCGTATGTATTATTTGAGCATACGGAATGATATTGGCATATGTAAAGCAATCAGTACTGAAATGGTTTTATTTCTCTTTCTAGGCAGGTGTGTATTTATCATGGCTGAAAAAGACACTGAGAAAAACCAGACTGAAAAACTCCTAAAAAGAGTACAAGAACTGGAGAAGGAAGTACAAAGACTAAAAAAGGAACAGGCCAACAAAAAGGATTCAAACAAAAGAGAAAATTCTTTAGGAAATGTAAAAAGTAAGCGGGCATTTGACTTCAGTATTCATGGCCGAAGGCATGTAGCTCTTAAGATAGCCTACCTCGGCTGGAGCTACCAGGGTTTTGCAAGTCAGGAAAACACCAACAATACCATCGAAGAGAAGCTGTTTGAGGCGCTAACCAAGACTCGATTAGTAGAAAGTAGACAGACATCCAATTATCATCGGTGTGGTCGAACAGACAAAGGAGTGAGTGCTTTTGGACAGGTAATGCAAGCAATGCCAAGATACTGTACATATATATGTACTAAGATTTTTAGATTCTTCACATTTCTAAAATGGTATTTTCTTATTTCACAGGTGATTTCTCTAGACCTTCGATCCCATTTTCCAAAGGACAAAGTTTCCGAGAGTTTTAATTTAGACACAGTCGATGATACTGCTGAAGAGATACGTTATACACATATTCTCAATCGAGTGCTCCCTCCAGACATTCGTATATTGGCCTGGGCCCCGGTAGAACCTACCTTCAGTGCTAGGTTCAGCTGCCTTGAGCGGACGTATCGCTATTTTTTCCCTCGTGCTGATTTAGATCTAATAACCATGAATGATGCCGCTCAAAAGTTTGTTGGTACACATGATTTCAGGAATTTGTGTAAAATGGATGTGGCCAATGGGGTAGTTAATTTTCAGAGGACTGTTTTGTCTGCTCAAGTACAGCCAGTGGGCCAGAGCCTGGGTGAAGAGAGATGGCAAGCATCTTTCCAGTTATGTCAGTTTGAAGTGACTGGCCATGCATTCCTTTATCATCAAGTCCGCTGTATGATGGCTATCCTATTTTTGATTGGCCAGGGAATGGAGAAACCAGACATTATTGATGAGCTGCTGAACATAGAGAAAAATTCCCAGAAACCACAATACAGGTAAATAAATGGGGAGGGGTTAGGTGAAGAAGCTGAAACCCCCAAAACACCCCTTATCCCAAACCAAGGGAAAAACGGTGTTACTGGGGGGTTTTTTGGTTTATTACAGACTGTCCTTGCTCTTATGACTACTTAAATAACTAAGTCATGGATTCTACCTTCATAAAGCTAACTTTTAAGTAGATATGAATATTCAGAGTGGAATCTTTTACTCTTTCTCTCCTATCCTCTCCCATTCATTTGTGTTGGTTGATTCATAGGGACTGTATAGACTGCCCAGACAGAATAGACTGCCCAGTACGGTTTCCAAGGCTATATTTATGGAAGCAGACTACATCATCATTCTTCTATGGAGCAGCTGGTAGATTTAAACCACTAACCTTTCAATTAGCTGCCCAACACTTAATTGATCAGGATCCTTAAATGTAAAAACACTTTCATGTTTGTCTCTAAATTCACCCATAGAAGTTAGGTTAGGTTCTGGTGAATTTGAAATATCAAACATGATATTGAAATGATAAGTCAGGCACATTGTTCTTTTGAGAACAACTTGAATTAATGCTAGGTGCTGTTGAGTTGGCACAAACTCAAAACTCACAGCAACCATATTAACAGAAAAATACTGCCTGAACCTGTGCCATCCCTCAAGCGTGGCTGAACTTGAGCTCACTGTTGCAGCCCATCAAAGCATACTGCTGAAGTTCTTCCTTGTTTCCACTGAGAATTCTTAAGTAGTCACATCTAGTTTCTATTTCATATTATACAGAATTAGGAACCTCTGGTGACCTAGTGGGTAAGAAGTTGTGTTGCCAGAACAAATGCAAGCTATTCAAATCTACGCCCTACTTCTTGGGAGAAAGATGGGTCATCTTCCAAGTGATTTGTAGCCTTTTTCAGGAGGATTAGCTATGAGTTGGTTACAAATCGTTGACAGAGTTCACTCATTTGGTAGTATGGTCTGTGGAAGACTGTACTGCTAACCAAAAGGCCTCCTCCAGTCTCTGGCAGTTCAAATCCCCCATGGCTCCAGGGGACAAAGATGGCATTTTCCTTCATTAAGATTTATAGCCTCAGAAACCCAGTGGAGAGTCACCATGAATCAGAACTGACTCGATGGCACTGAGATGGATTTCTTTTTAAATATAAAATTAGAATGCAACAATATTAGCTATTTTTAGGATTTACCGTAAAATACATGAGGCCTGACCGTTATCTGCTTTTTCTTTTTTTAAACTGTTGTACTGCTATTCAAGATTAGGACAACTTTTGTTTTTCTTAGCCATTCAACTCACCCTCATTATTAGCAAGTCAGAACCAGATCACAGTGATCCTCCAATGGGTTTCTTCAGAGACTGTAAACTGTATGAGAAATGGCCTCTTTTTCTCTCTTGGAGCAGCTGGTGGCTGCACAACTCCCTACCAGTACGCCACAAGAGCTCCCTTCTTCACTACTCAGTACTGACATCAGCAGTCTCCCCCTTTTTATCTTAACCCTTAGTTTTTAAAACTGTCAGATGGTTGCTATGTAGTCTCATAATTTGTTTTTTTATTCCTTGTTTCCAGTATGGCTGTAGAATTTCCTCTAGTCTTATATGACTGTAAGTTTGAAAATGTCAAATGGATTTATGACTGGGAGGTTCAAGAATTCAATGTTACCCACCTACAACAACTATGGGCTAACCATGCTGTTAAAACTCACATGTTGTACAGTATGCTACAAGGATTGGACTCTGTGGCAGTAAAACCCTGTGAAACAGGTATGAAAAGAATGGACATTCAAGAATGAAACTACTCACCATAAGGGCTAAGGGTGGAGGGTAGTTTAATCTAACATTTGGAGGTGATTTTGCTGTGGCAAATTATCCATGTAATGTTTGATTGTGTAATTATAGGACCAAAGATGGATGGAATAATAGAGTGGAGAAATGTTAAGCCCTCTGTCATAAAGCAGACCAGTGCCTTTATAGAAGGAGTGAAAATGCGCACATATAAACCTTTAATGAATCGTCCTAAATGCCAAGGATTGGAATCTCGCATCCAGCATTTTGTACGTAGGGGACGAATCCAGAACCCACACTTAACCCATGAAGAAGAAACAAAAGTGAAAAGGGACTGCAAGGAAACATTAGAAGAAAGTAATATTTTTGAGAAACCGACAAAAAAAATCTGTGTTGATGCAGAAATTAAAAGCATCATCTAATCATAGAACACTCCCCAGGATCTTGGAGGCAACAAGCAAAAAGTGGTAAGTGGGCAGAAAAAGTAAACAAAAACCCACACACCTTTATTGCAAGTCATAAATTTTGATGACCAGCTCTTAAAAAACAAGCAAACCATGCAAGCCCTATAAAAGAAAGACTATAATTTCATATTCTAACATACCTGTGGGGATCTATGTATTTGTGCTGCATGTTCAAATTCATTAAAACCTGTTTCTTAGAAGTGGAATTTGTTGTGTTAATCTTTTCCCCTGATTTAAGTGAAAAGCAGAGAAAATTTATTTTCTACTGAACTATTCATACATTTGTCATCAATTACAATATCCCCAGTGTTATCTACTTTTCTAGATTCCTCTTTGTGACTGCAAATTAATTTCCATTAATTCTGTCCTCCTCCTTGCCTTCTGAGCTTTATCCCTGGGCAAATGCCATCCTTATTTTGTATGGTTGATTGTTCTAATGGCTATCATTCTTGTTATAAACCTATGATATGACTGAAAGTTAAACCACAGGGGAGAATTTTATTCTAGGTTTGAAGTGCAACTAAGGATCAGTCTTGGGAGCTCTATTAAGTCTCATACCAATGAGCCTAGATGTTTTTATGCTCCAGGTTTTTTGTCCATACTGTCTAGGACCTAATTCACTCCTATTCACAGTTCATTTGAATTCTCAAAAAGAGCTTTGCCTGAATATCTCATTTTCTTAGGTACAATTTAGAAATCTTAAATTCATAAATTCAATCAACTTATTATTTAATAAACTGTTTATTACTAGACATGTTACAGTTTACTATCTGAAAAATGACCTGTGTAGCAAAAATAGTGCTTTAAGTCAGGTTGACTACCAACTCTTAATAATCCTCTCATGGGTTTCCAGGGATGTAAACTGTAATGGGAGGATACTGCACTTCTTTCTTCCTTGGAGCAGCTGCTGGAGTCAGATTACCTTTGGGTTAGCAGTGCAACTCGGTGGACTGTGCTATGCTATCAGAGCTCCCTAGTAGCTTTTAAGGCAGCAGGTAATGGACACTGAATGTTTTTTCCTATGTTCAATGCAAATACGGGTTCCATCCTCAAGCAACTAGTTAAAATATAACAGTATGTTGTATTATGTCAAGTTAGAAATGATCCATAGTTGACCCTCCAGCAACTACTGTCATTTATCAAAGTTCATAGTTTCCAGAGGCATGTTGTTTAGGAAGTGGATGCCATTCCTATTTCCAAAACTAGGCCACAGGGAACAATAAAAATACTAGCTTACTATAAATAGTAAATTAATACATGAGGGCTGGCAGGGAGTTGCAATGCCAGCCCAAAGCCTCAGCTGGAATCCCCATCAGCTGCTATTGTAGTAGATAGATGAGCCCTCCAATGTGATTTATTGTCTCTGAAAACTGAAGGGTATGAGTTTGTTCTTCCTCATCAGTACATAACAATACAGGTGCTTAGAAGTAGAGAGACTGAAGAATAAGGTGTCACTGAAAGAATCCCAGCTTCAGGAAGTGAAAGAACATAGAAAATGAACAACCTTGCAATACTAAAGTATGAGGAGTCATAATAGTTTTATACCTTGTACGGTATGTACTAGAAAATACTCCCACTTCAGTGGGGAAATAAAGGCCCAAAATAAGATTATGTAAAACAGTTTACAATTCAGGATTCTGAATCATACTGTATCATTTTTGGGGACCGGATGTGCCAGCATTTCAAAATGCCCTGTGGTAAGGGAGCTCTGGTGGCCTAGTGGCAAAAAAGCTGCACTGCAATCCCAAATGCTCATAGTTCAAATCCACCAGATCCGGTGACAATCAGATCCGATTTGAAGGCACACAACAATGAATGAATAAAGAAAACCATTCTTTTTTAAATGCCCAGTGTTCTAAAAAAAAAAAAAAAAAAAAAGGAGGGGGGGAAGGCTACTTTTCATGTAATAAAAATAAACATTTTGTTTTTAATGTAATCACTGACGACAGGATATCCACACTCCAACATTTTATTTACAAACCACAGTATTTTAATTTTCCAACTTCTTACCTTATGTAATTGACATTAATATGAGACTTAAAGAAAAACCTAAAGAGGAACAGAGTTAAATCCTGGAGATACGATAAACAGGGAAATAACATTAATAGCCTGATAAATCCTTTTAAGAACAATGATTTCTGGCTGAATTGGGTTGGCCTTTTTCTCTATATGGGTGGATTTCTTTCTCAAACAATGGGATTCTGTAATTTTTACAATAACGTTTCTTTTCATTGTGGGCTCTTTCGCCTTTACATGCCATACTCCCTAACTCTTTAAGGAAGCTGAGGTCTTTCCTCTGCCAGCGTCTTTGCCCACCATGTGCTCTCACGTGATTGTGTATCCTGGGGGCTGGGCCTCTGGGACTTGCTTCTCATTTGTGGGTCCCCTTTGTCCGCTCTGTTCTCAGGGCCTGCGCCCAAGGCACCCGGCGACCTCAAACCCTGTCCACACCAGAAACGTGGGGGATGCGGACCCCAGGCAGGTCTGAAGACCACTGAGAACTCTCCCGTGCTTAGATCCGATTCAAGGCCACCCTCCAGTGGGACTCTCAGGCCCTACATGTTTCTGGGAGAAAACTGTCTCCCGCGCAGTGGCTGCGGGACTCGAACAATCGACTTCTCGGCTGACAGCCCAACCAGATACAAACGACGCCACCAGAGCTCTTAGAGAATTCGCTCCAAACCCCCGTCAAATTCAAAGAACTGCACTCACATTCACGCTCCAGCAGGTTTCCAAGGCTGTATCTCTTTATTCCTCCCGCGGAGCCACTAGTGAGTCCCAACCCTTAGAGAAGTGTGGCCTTTGGGTTAACAGCACAATCTATGTGGAAAAGGCTCGAGGGCGCCATTTGTGCTTCAGGCCTCACACTGAAATCCCTTACGCGCCCCAAGCAGCTGCCCAAACTAACCAAACCTACCCGGAGAGAAGTAACGGCCAACCACTGCTAGCGCCTGCGCACAACTCCTGATTGTGTGCCCCGCTGTCGCTGTACAACTCACTGCTGGGCAAACGTTAACCGCCCTTCCGGAGAGCTTTAAATCAAAAGCACAAACCAGCACCCTTGTCCCCGCCCTCCCGCTATCTTATTGGTCTCAAGACCTAAAGCTTCCCACCTCTACATTCTAATTGGGGTAGGTTTTCTCTTGCATCACCGTCGCCTTAAAGGCGCAAGGAAATCCGAGGTTTGGAGTGCAGAATTAAAATATTAACCCATGTTTTCCTGGTCTGGGATAGTCGATTTGTGGTGTTTTGTCTGGCAACCAGGTCACCACTTCAGTTACTGGAAGAGATGACACTTTCTGATAAGTAGAAGTTTGGGCGATTTACAGCCTCTGAAAAACCAAACCATCTAGAGGATCAGCTTTGGGTCAGTTCCGCGAGGGCACACAACAATTAAAAATTGTTAGTTGCAGCTCACGCATCAGTGCCTCAGAAAAAAAGGCCTTGGTCATTGGAGAGGGACATTATGTTTAGGTGGGTGGAAGGGCAGCGCTGGAGAGGAAGACCCTCGACGAGATGGATTGACTCAGTGACTGGAATAATGGGGGTAGGTGTGTCGAGACAGTTAAGGTTGGCTCAGGATACAGCAGAGTTCAGAGCTGCTGTACATAGGGTCGCTTTGGATCGCAGGCAACTCGACGACACATAACAGCAACCACATTGATGTGCCATCGAGTCCCCTGCGACTCTATATGTAAAGCAGTCTGGAGCCAGTCTCACTAATTACAACCCCCACTGTCCCAATTACTGATCAATCCGTCTCGTCCGGGGTCGTCTTCTGCAGAGTCCCTCCACCTTTCTGAGCATGATGTCCTTCTCCAAGGACTGAGCTCTCCTTGGCCATGTGCCCAAAGTTTGTGAGACGGAGCTTCAAAATCCTAAAAATATGTAAAAAATCCTAGCCTCAGAAAAGGAACTTGATTTCACTCTTTCCAAGAGAGACCTATTTGTTTTCTTGGCAGGCCATATGTTCAAGACTCTTGTCCAGCACCTTAACTCGAAGGCATCGATTCTTCCTCTCATCCTTAGTCAGTGTCCAGCTCTCTGAAGCATAGCAGGTAATTGCGAAGACCATGGCCTGGATTAGGCTCACCTTAGTCTCGAGACTGACATCGTTCCCTTTCAGCACTCTGGAAACGTCCCTGACAGCAGATTTTCCCAATGCAATTAGTCTTTTGATTTCCTGACTGCTGGTGTTAAGAGTGTTGATTATTCAGCCAAACAAGCAGTAATTGTCAACAATTATTATGGCATTAGAGACATTTATTGCCAATGTGAGATGGATCTTTGAAGAAAGCAGAGAGTACCAGAAAAATGTCTGTGTTTCATTGATTATGCAAAGGCATTTGACTGTGTGGATTACAACAAATTGTGGTTAACCTTGAGGAAAATGGGAATCCCAGGACACTTGGTTATGCTTATGCAAAATCTTATACATGCACCAGGAAGCAGTCCTCAGAACAGAGCAGGAAAACATTCCATGGTTCAAAATCATGAAAGGAGAGCATCAGGGATGCATCCTGTCTCCATACCTTTTCAATCTATATGCAGAACAGATCATTCAGGAAGCAGGGCTTTAGGAGGAGGAATGTGGCACCAAGATTCGAGAGGAAGACTCATCAACAACCTACATTATGCTGATATACGACCTTGCTTGCTGAAAATGAAGAAGACCTGAAGTGCTTGCTGCAGAAGGTCAAGGACTATAGTCTTCAATGTGGATTGAAGCTCAACATCAAGAAGACTCACTACTGGGCCAATTAGTAGCACCATGATAGATAGAGTAGAGACTGTTAACAATTATAGTTTGTTTGGCCCCACATTCAACACTCTTGGCACCAGCAGTTAGGAAGTCAAAAGATGAATTGCATTGGGAAAATCTGCTAAGCACCTTTCCAGAGTACTGAGGGGCAATGATGTCACTCTTAGAGACTAAGGTGTGCCTGATTCAGGCCATT